AAGGGGTTTAACTAATTATGTACTTACAGAATAACACATTAACACCAAAATCGCATTTTGGAAACGTATAGTTGACGAGTAATTTGCACTGAAAAATGTAATTAAATTTCCAAGGGTCATTGCAGCCACAAATTTGAAAACAGTGACAGGCATAGTAATAAACAAATTATAAAACCATACCTTTACCTTCGATAACATAAGAAACATTCTACCATCATTGATAGTGTGAATTAAATAATACCTGTAATTCCCACAAACAACAATTGATAACTCTTGGGCACTTGTGTCCTGCGTGCTGACGTCTTGGTCCATTGAAATTTTGGCTCAAGGCAAAAATGTTATGTGAGGACAAATTTTGTCTGTTTTTTTTTTTTTGAGAGGGGGGGGTCGGGAGTCGGGGAATAATTTTGTCCAGCTTGAGAGATGTTTGCCTTAGCAGGGTCCACCTTAACAAAGTAGACCGAGAGGTAGCAGTAAACAACACGCGGTGGTGGCAGACAAAGACTGGGCGGATGTAAAGAAACTACACATGTCAAGCAACGCTTTGCGCGTGTAGCGCAGAATTAAACGAAATCACGCTAGATTTAGTGAAATAGTTCCGTAAATCGAGCGAACATAATGGAAAGCTCGATTTAACAAACAGGGGTGGCTCAAATTAGTTTATTAAATCTAGAAAATACTGCCTTGTGTGTTATGAACACAGCACCAAATGAATGTAAACTACAGCTATAAAGAAATATGGTGAAATTGCACACTGTTTGCTATCCCACATAATTGACTTCCCACTCTTAATTTATTTTATTTTATAGTTTATATTATTTACCTGTATTTGAAAATTACATTAGGGCATTAAAATTATATTTCCATAACGTTTATGGTTCCTTGTGTAACAATGGCATGTGAGCAACCTTCTCACAGCTAACAAGCGCACGTTTATTTTAATGATTTCTGCCTCGATATTCTCACACACAATATACCCCTACACTCTTATTTTTTCTTCTCTTTTATCTTGATATTACTTCTTAGAATACAACATTTTCTTTATTCATAAGGAACACTAGCACATTTAAATGACTCGGTCACGTGAGGGGTGACTAGCGTATTTTGGCGTGGTGTAAACTTAATATACTTGAAGGGCACTTTTATTACTTATGGTTACTGTATTTTTACATTAAATTATGTGCTTTTAACACTTTATGCATCATATTTTGTTACACACAGACTTGGAATAAACCAGTGGATGCAGACAACATTAAATGAAACAGTTGATATACAGGTTGACAATTCCTTATCCGAAATCCTTGGGGCCAGATGTGTTTCGAATTTCAGAATGGTTAGGTTTTTTTTTTTTACAGGGATTAGCCCACCCGGGCACAGGTCACAGACCCATATCAGGGCCTGGGGGGCAAAAATATAGTAATAATACTGTAATAATAATTCCTAGGTCTAGGTCGTGTTTCTCACTTTCGATCTTTTTTTCATTCTTGTATTTCTTTATTATTTTTATTATTTTTATCATTATTCTTTTATTTTTGTGTATTTTTTATTATACAATTTATTTGCTACAAATAATTATTACTACTACTACTACTACTACTACTACTACTACTACTACTACTACTACTACTACTACTACTACTACTACTACTACTACTACTACTACTACTACAACAGCCTCCCCCAATAGCCACACCTTCGCCACCATTTATTTACCTTAATATTAAATATCCTAATACATAAGAAACTATCCTATCTGTGTTAAATTAGTTGAGCCGCAGATCCATGCGGCATTCAGTGACTGTAGCCTCATAGTCGATATCTGCAGCAGTTGTCGGAGTAGGGGCAGAAGCTCTCGTTCCCCTGAGGCAGAGCAAAGCCGACCGAAGGAGAGAGAAGGACAGTCGACATCTCATCCAGGCTGTGACACAACTTCTGGGCTGCTGCTTCTGTTCGGAGATCAGCTCCGCGAGTCTGGCGTAGAAACATCTTGCACTTGGGCCCATCCCACCAGAGGTTGTGAACACTAGAGGAGTGAAGCTGCCTTGATCAACATTTTGAATTCTCTCCCCATATGCCCTTCTCTTGTCGTTCTCGTTCCTCCTATGCGCAGCATCGAGAGCTAGGTTACGGTGACAAACGGCCATGGGATCAAAAATCCTGATGTCGAAGAAAGCTCGCTGTCCCCGCGTCCAGAATCCTCGAGCACTGACGTCCACACGGGCTTCGTTAGATGTGTTTGAAGTCCTGTGTTGGAAGATCTCGCCATCCAGTGGAAGGAGGGTCGGTTCTACCATGACGTCCCGGCAGATTTCCTTCAACATATTTGCTGTGAGATCCCTTACCTCGTCATGCCTCATGCATATGAAGCCCCCCTTCTTGCAAACCATGGCGTGATCGCCATCATAGGAATAGCCACACACACATTGGGAGGGCAAACCATCTACTGGCCAACCGTACCTTAGAGCAATGGCATCTGTAAATTCTTGTTTGTTAAGGCTGAAACCATTTGCCCTTATCGGTAACGTAGTTAGCCAGTTCGAGGCGCCCACCTCCTGCGCTATAGCTACTTTTTTTGTCAAATTTTCTGGAACCAGCAGCAATAGTTGCTGCAACATGTCATTTTGGCAGTGCTGCCGATCTGTTGTAATGGACCTACGGATCTTATTAACTTCGCTGGTGTCCACTTCCCCTGTTGCATTCTGGGCTATTATGTGGTCAGTGAGGGCTGCCGTGAGCTTAAGTGAATTTTGATGTTCAGAGTCAGCAATCTCCTCTGGATTAGTTAGTCCCATCCCTCCCAGTCTTGGTGGAAGTGCAAGAAGTGTTCTTTCTACTACTACTACTACTACTACTACTACTACTACTACTACTACTCGTATGCCCTTATCTTGTCGTTCTTGTTCCTCTTTTTACCAAGACACTTCTTTGTGTAAAACCTTATTAAGATGGCATAGTATATAACTCTAATATGGTTAGTACTTGAGAGCAGAAACCTGTCCTCAAGGTAGGACCATACCTGTTACTCATCACCCACATTCCTGAAACCTTTCCCATGTACCCCTGCGTAATATTTTATCACTAAGTCACTGAAACAAAACTTTCTGGTGAATTATAAAGGGTAATAAAAAATTTGGAGGTGCATTATTCAGAAACTTTTGGCAAACTTCTGTTTTGCACTGTCCATGTACTGCATTTTTCTTTCTGTAAATATAAATTTTTCACTAAAAAAGTTGTATCTTGTACAGGTATTGGTAAATTAATTTTGAAGATAAGGGTTTAAGATGAAGACTGACATACACAACTTTAACATCAAATAAAAAATTCACTGCACTGCAACTTTTGATCACCCTGTGTACTTATATGATTTCCAAATATTAATAGGTTTGGAATTTGCTTTAGACAGACATAAAACGTGAAAGTAGCACCATTGGGCCTGACGGGCTGATAGGAGCAGTGTAGATACTAAGTTTTTGGCATAGGAGGCAGTGCAGTCAACACTGTGCTTGCCTGTTTTCAAATTCCCAATTACAAAGTAAGGTACTGTGCCCACTGATAACTGAATGAACTGGGGGGTATCAATAGGCTCCTGATTTGAGTGCCACTTGTATATTTCCATGCCCCCCCCCCCCATATCAGTTTTGGTTATCATGTACAAGTTTTCTTGTGAGGTATACATAAATTCTGTATGGTGAGTAGTGTGGAAGATTTCGGGAACAGAAAGACTGACAACTTGGTTTAACATAGATGTACAGATAGTGTACATGGTTTCTTAATCCACTAATATAAGCTAATTGTGAGTAGAGTAACAGTGATATAGTTTATAATTAAAGTTTGTGCCTGCATTACTTACTAATTTAACATGACATATTGGTACACTGAACTGCATTTGAACTAAAACGCATGAATTGTATTGGTTAATTATATAAAGTTCATCATCGTCAGGTCTTAGCCCTTATTTTTTTTTTCTGGATATACAATCGATCACCTTACAATAACTTTTCGATGTCCTTTACCTCATCAACACCTGTACTTTTTTCACTCTGAATAAAGAAAATTGAATTTCTGTTGCCAGTATCATATCTCTGATATTTTCTCAAACCTATAAAGGTACGTATTACATTCGTAATATCTCCGTTAGCTGGAATCCTTCAAACCTGGAACTCTCCAATAGCCGTAATTGAAATTTTCTTGGAAAATCGTCCCAAAGTCGAAAATTCCGGCTTTGGGAACAATTTTCCAAGGGGCACATTTTCTGGAAAATTCAGAGAAAATTTTCCCAGTACCCAGAAAATTCCAGGGATGGGGGAGTTTTTTTTTTTCCAGGTCTGAGAGATGAAAATCAGGTGCATTTTCCAAAAATTCCAGGAACGAGGGATTTCTTCTGACTCTGAGAGATGAAATAATGCATCATTCTGGAACTTCCAAGAACATTTCTCCATTACCTGGAAAATTCAGGGGATAAGGGAATTTTTCCAGCTTTGAGAGTCGCCTCGTCACCCGGAAATCTCTCCTTCCGGAAGTGCTTTGCACCAATTGTTCTGGCTAATGGAGATACTCTGTATAACTATAGTTACAGAAGCGGAATTTTATGAGCTTTCCAATGGTGGTCTTGGAATTTTTATAAGACTAATTGTGTGGAGGGTGAGAGTGGAAATAGTGACAAATACAACCTATCAGCATAGCTGACAGGAGGACTGATGGGCAGCAGAACTCCACCCATCCTTTGTTACTTTCTGGAAGCTTTCCTTGCAAAACCATGCAGTCATCTATGATGCAATTATCTAGATTTTTTTTATTTTTTTTTTATAGTTTAATGAAATAATTCGCGTCGCCGATGCAAATAGTGCTACCTAATTATTTTATGCGAATTGCATCATGATGTGGGAGAGGGTTAATGAGTAATGATGTAAATTAGGTTATAATTTGAAGAATTTGTTTTTGTCTTAAGTTCCCAGAGACAGGAAACCAAATTTATGTACTGTAACTATTTTCTTCAACAGCTCGAGTGTTCAGATCATCTCCACAGTTTGGTGTCACTCTGGTAACTTATGAAATCTTGCAGAGACTGTTCTACGTTGATTTCGGTGGCATGTAAGTGTTTTAAAAATCTCTCGTTGTCAGTATTAGTTCTAAGATATTGTTTTACAAAATTATTTCACACACAGCTCTCCATGTTGCACAAATAGTCTCCTGCAGTCTCTCTTGTTAGGTTCCTAACTTTAATGTCACTTCTTATAACCTCTCCCTGTGTCATTCTTGGCCTACCAATTTCTTTCTTACCCTCTAAATTTAGGCTCATGCACATTTTGACCTAATTGGTCTCATCCTTTCTCTCTGCATGCCCAAACTATCTCAGCCTACCTCTATGCAGAATTTCACCAATACTCTCAATACCCTGATACCCTCTTTGCTTTGAACAGGGCTTCCTGTCTTGCAGTGTCACAAGACATCCACCTCACCATTCTTATTTCAGCTTGTCCAAATCTACTTATATCATCCTCTTTTATTGCCCATGTTTAACTGCCATATAACATCACACACCTCACACCAACTACATACATTCTTCTCTCATGTGGAGAGAAGGTCCTTTTGTCATCAATAAAGGCAGCAGCCCCCTAAAGTTCCTCCAGCCACTTCTGACTCTTGTAACTGGGCAGGCTTCAGCACCCCCACCAGCACCGATAATGTCACCCAGGTAACAGAGCTCGACACAGTCCAGGGACATATTCCCAATGTTGAGTTTCTCCAGTCTTGCTGTGGGCACATGGTTTTCAGTACATACTGAACAGAACTAGATGATGTTATCAACTTCAAGTGTGTGCAGAAAACACCTTTAATACAAACAGCGCATGACCATTTTCCACTTAGTACAAGCACTCATGGTCTGTACTTTTGTTTTTTGCCACATTCACTTTCAGGCCCCTTAACTTGATTCCATCCTTCCATTTCTTTAATTTCTCCCCTGCCTGTTCAATACCATCTGTTATCAGCTAAGGTATCAACATACAACAACTCCCAAGGCAGATCAGTCCTAAAGTCTCATGATTTTGTCTCCACCAGCATGATAAACAGAAGGGACACCAACTTTCATCTTACTTTCTTCACCATTTACTTGTTCCTGTGACACAATTTCACTGCTTCACATGAACTTTTGATCCTGACTGTACAGTTGTGGACAAAAAGAATTTGGCAGGTAGGGCAGGAGGAAGGGAGATGTGTATGGGAAGGTAGGGGTTGGTAGACACTTGGCAACATTGCATAGAGGTGGCGATCAAAAGTCTGAAATTTTCATTACACACCACAAATTGATTTTTTTTTTAATTATGAGGTAGGTGCAGCTTACACTCCCTCTCTGCCAAATTCTTTTTGTCCAAAACTGTTAAGTGTTGTATATTGATAGTTTGCCCTCATCTCTACTGTGGATTGTCTTCCTAGAAAAGTCCATATAAGTGAAATTGAAATAAGAAAAGATAGATTTCTATACTAAAAGGTGGGGTTGTGTTCCCAGCCACATAAAGTTTCCCATTGACAATGACTCCATACTGTACAGTACCCTGTATTAGGTTTTCATGAATTCAGTAATCCCAATTAAAATGACTGTATTTACAAGGGGTTGGCAAATGCAAAGGAGTACCATCCGACTACTGGACTTATCCTATTACTGTTTTAGAAACACCGTGCCGGTTCCAAAGTTCTCCCAACACAGGGGCCTTCTGATACAATATCAATGCCATCTTAAACGTCATTTCTGCTGAACCTGCAAAATGTATATCATGTGGTCCTCATTAAACCAGTCAAGTTTAAGTCTCAATCAACCCTTACTTATAATTAAAATGTGAGCAGTTTTCCTGAGAATCTATTAGTAAGGGAGATCCCCCCACACCCCAATTTCCAGTCATAGTCACAAATGAAATGTTAGGTTTACTCCTTTACATTTCACTGTGTATTGACCACAACATTAATGACAAATGTCTTATACTGTAATATTTTTATGGTACAAATGAATGCGATGTGTTTATTATGGAGTACATTACCAGGTATATGTACTGGTATTCAGCAGATCTTTAAGTACCACTACTTTATAGCATAAACTGCGATCAAGTCAATATTAATGGTCTTATTTATTTCCAGTCGGCCAACAGGGTCAGAAGCCCAGCTGCCGGCTACAGCAGCAGATCACCGTTCAACCAACCCAGATCACATTGGTGGTTATAAAGTTGCTGTTCCGATATTTAGAGGCATTGAATCGAAATTTGGTCTCTTCCTTCCACGATATGTGTGAGAGTGTGAGAGGATATGTTATGTATATATTTTGGGGATTAGTTACTATGAAATGTGAATTTGAATTAGAGCTCCAGCATCCTAAAATTATTTATTACGAATAAATACCCTGTGAATAATGGTTTTATTTTTATCTTGTTTATTCTTTTTGTATTTAAGGAGCTTTTATTACACTTAAACTTTTTTTTTAATGAATGTATCCATTGGGTGATACGTGACTGAGAATTTCTTCCGTCTATTGCTTTAAATGCCATATTGTATGATAAAATATATGCACGATAAATCAAAGCTTGTTCCAACAAGTCTCGTTGACACTATCACTATTTAGGGCTAATATGTGTAATTATTTAGAATATGTACATACAGTAGTGTTATCATATTCAGCCCATACATTGTAGTAACTTTTCATAATTAGTCAGTTACCATTTGTATATTTTCCAGTTTGTTACCTCATCACTGAGGTAAATTTTAGAGATTATATTATTATAATTAATCTTATTTATTGATACTGCTCATTTCTTCCAATTATAATTTCTTAAAAAGGAAGGTTATGAAAATATGTATGATAAAGCTTAGTAATGTAGTAATGTAGATACAGCACATGTATCAAGTTTACATACTGTACTCTGCTAAATATTCAAGCTGTGAGATAAATTGAGGTAATTAGTACTGACTGGGCAACAAGAATATTTAAACATTGTTACCATAAGTAAATTAAAAATTTCTGGATACATAATTTTTTGTTTCTGTAGATATCCAAAAGATACTTGTGAAAACTGTCTATTCAGTGTCAGAATCAATTGAGGCGCTCCCATTGATAGTGACGAATCAACCAATGGCGCCTAAATCAGATTCTTGTTTCAATAATAGGAAGCCCGACTCTTTCTCTACCCAATACAGGGTTTATTCGTCAATAAACCCTGTATTGGGTAGAGAAAGAGTCGGGCTTCCTATTATTGAAACAATAATCTGATTTGGGTGCCATTGGTTGATTCGTCACTATCAATGGGAGCGCCTCAATTGATTCTGACGCCGAATACACAGTTAAATTAATATTTCTAACTCTACAGAAATAATGGCAACTCGTGTACAGATATTAATGTACATACTGTACTATATTGTAGTACATGTTGTGTAGTCAAAATATTCATATATGTGGTCATGAAATCTGAAATGCACAAACCATTATGTTGGTGATTTAACTGATCTTACTTTAACTTGTTTAATAATAATGGTCGACGTGCTCAGGTATACAAGGTATTAGTTTTCAAGTACTGTACGTAAGTATTGGAATGAGAAGAAATTTTCTTTTCTTCAAGAGTAATAAATCATGCTTATCTATTATTGTTATCATTTATGCAGGTACTGTACCACAAAATGTATTCATGATAATTCACATTGTAGTAAGTGACACTAAGAAGTGATCTAAGCAAGTATTGTCTGAACCCTGATCTGTTACAACACCCATACGATGTTTACACAATTTGTTTTGACTCCCATAATTTAATTTTAATTTAATAATATTTGGATCTCCAGAATTCACATGAGCTAAACAATTTTTTTTCTTCTAAGAATGAATACTTAATATACCTGTAATTGTTGATATTTTTTATATAATATAAATATTCTTTGGCGCTTGATGATAACCTATCACTAGCCATCCTGGTGTAGCTAGTTTTAAATATAAAGTTGCTGCTCTTCAGCTAATACGGTCTAAAATTATACAGTGGGGTCTCATTTTATGAGGGTCTCGCTTAAGCTATTAGTTGAAATGTGACAAATAGTTATAGCTTAAGCAGAAAGTCATGGTTAGCAGTATAGCGTTAATTTGGCGATCTTTTGCTTATTTAGTGATTATAGTCATCACTGAGCCAATTGAGAGTCTGAGCTCTCCTTGTGGCACCTAATATATACAGGCATCCCTGGGTTACGGAAGGGATGCTTCCTTTAAAAATTTTTCCGTAATGCAGGACTAATTTTCCCATTGTCTCCCATTATATAATTGGAGTTGCGTTCCCAAGGAAATATTTTCAGCAAATATACGTAATACAAGCATACATATGAATGAAAATAAACATTTTTAAACACTTAATGATTCAGTCACAATGTTGAATGCAGCGTGAGGTGATGAGGTAAGGTGGTGTGATCTGAGCTACTGGGAGTTACCTCCATAAAACCTCCAACATAATTCCTTTAAGGGATCTTTTGGCACTACTGCTTTTTCTTTTACTTTATAGTCTCTTTCCACTCATCTTGAATAAGGGTACACAGTAACACAGTCCTGAACACAGATGCAACACTGAATATGCTGGGATTTGAAATCAAACTGAGCACTGTTAGCGTGGGTGCGACACCCTTCACCATATTATAGCTACCACCAAGAAATCCAAACGAAATAAATTTTATAATTTAGGTGAAATTTTTTGTTGCATATCGTGATTATGTTTGAAAACTTTAAAATTTACCCTAATTTCGTAAGGGCAAATTTTTGGGCCATATCCCGAATTTATTGGTTATAATTTCTAAATTCCATAACCAGGGGGATGCGTGTACATTTATCTCAAGAATTTTTATATAACACTTAGTATTATCTGGATTAGTATAGGTAACATGGTATTGGTATAAATACATATGAAAATGTTACCATGAGTATAAGTGCATACCATTAGAAGTACTCTGTAGTACAGTTAATTAAAGAAGAATTTATTTTATAAAATATATTATACTGTACTCTATTCATCATTAAAATATATACTGTATTATTTTTAATGGAGATATTGTACAGTGGTCTAATCAGATTTGATATAGGCCTAACGAGAGCTAATTATGTACAAGGGAAGACACCATGTGTAAACATGGTGGAGGTTGGGGGTGGGGGAGCGGGCCATTGTCATGGTTGCAAGTTTGTTTTGTTTATTTATAATTATACAGTATTCTCAAAATTAGTATATTATGGTGCATGTTTCATCATAAATAATATAACACGGAATTAAATAGAAAAAATACGATATATAATTCGACTTCAAAACAAAAGGACAAGCTGAATCAGAAGGTACAGGTATCCCCCGATCTAAGATATTCCGCTTTACCGATGGTGATGTATTAAAACCACTCCCCTATCTACGATGTAAAGAATCCCCATGAACGATGGTCATTGTCTGGCCAAACCACTTCACAGTCACAAAAACTTATAAAAAATCACTTCACAATCACCAAAGCAATGTGGACATTAGTGATGTCCTGTCACTGTAAGGTTAAAAAAAAGAAACTTTTGTATCAGCACTGATACTGACCGATAATCATTGAAATACAAGATCTCAGCCATGTGGCATCACCAAAGAACATAGCTTGCTACTGTAGTGCACCAGGTAGCCACTTGGCGATGCTCATGTTTGTTGTAAACATGAGCACTGCCACGTGGCCACCTGGTGCACTACAGTAGCAAGCTATGTTCTATGGTGATGCCACTTGGCCGAGATCGTGTAATTCAACACTAATCGGTCCGTATCGCTGCTGTTACTTATCGTTTTTTTTTTTTTATCACAGTGAGAGGACATTTTTGGGAGTGATTTTATGAATTCAGTAAAACCTTTTCTTGTTTAGTAGCATGTAAGAAATATCTGCAAGGTGCTTATAAATCAGAATATTGGCAGTATTTGAAATATTAACCACCCTCAAGTATTTAGTATTTACACTACAGGTATTCCTAGTTTAACGTGGGGATGCATTGCAGAAAACATAACTTTAAGCAAAATTTTCACTAAACAAGGGAGAACATGGATAATCGGTGTTCAAGGAATTTTTTTTAACCTAAATACACTGTACGACCATATTTAATGATAATTTACTATAATAACAATAATAAACTACAGTACGCTACAGTAAAGTAACACTCACGAAGTCGCTGTATGATGTCAAGTTTCACCTCCAAGCTCCAAAAATTTGCAGAAGATCTTGACCTTGCCTAATGAGGAAGGTGAAACAGCAGTACGCTTACCCGACATTTTTTCTTCAAATTTCATTCACTTTACACAATATCACAATAAATAACAGTACTGTACTTAATAACTTTTTAAAGTCACAATGATAACGATGCACAGCGATCACAACTAAAGTGTATGCGGTGATAAAAGTGAAGCACAAAAGACAATGATCAAACGACAGGCAGTAAACATTTAGTATATGGCGTGGGTGAATAGGTGGCGCAGGTAGCATAAACAAGTAACAGTAGAAATGTGCAATTGGAGCACAGAATCCCCAGTTTTTCCCACAACATTCCAGAGATTTTCTGCCTTCCCAGAGAGTCAAGCTATCACTAAACCAAGTTTTGACCTAACATTAACCGAGAAAGGGTGTTAAAAAGTTTATATTATTAAACTGAATTATTGTTAAATTAATTAATGCTAGAAGAGGGATACCTGTAATGGATATATCCTCTATAGAAATTAGATTTGATAGATTTCTTCTTTTATCTTAAAATCATTTTGTTTTAAGACAAGACAAATGGAAAATGAATGTATGATACATCAGGGTTCAGAAAATAAAACATGCTTCACACAAATTAAAAAATACCTCACTATTAAGGAGGTGCTTTTTTCAGCTAGGTGAAAATTTTCAGAAAAGTGTGTAACAATGATACTTTCTGAATGTTCCGTAACTGACCCCCAAGGATTCCCCTTCAAAAGTCTTATCACAAGGACATCAACCACAACAAAGATGTGAAAAATGACAGCAGATACTCGCAACAATGATAATGAATGATAAATAGACAATGATAGATGAAAAGGAGTCATTATATACCATATCCCAATTTCCATTAAAGTTTGTTGCGACAAATAGGCATAAACATGATAGGCCTACTTTTAGTGCATCATTCATATATGGCTATATGAATAAAAGTGATGTTAAAACCAAAGTATAGGAAACTTGTGTACAGTACTGTATTAAAACAAAACACTTTATATTAATTTATATTAACTTAATTTAATTTCCTACTTGTACTTTAATTACAACTGATATTGTTAACAGGTTTTGAGGAGCGTAAACATATATTGCTCATATAACAATATATATTTTTTAATTTGGTAGGTGGCAAAATGCGGATTTTATTGTCTTTTCATGAAGAAATACAGGTGTTTTCTAATGTAAATAATAAATGTACCTTAATTAGAATTATTAAATTAACAGAGGTCTTCAGTTAGAAAAGTGATCATTTAAGATTTAAGTTAGATAATAAGTATGTATTGTATCATGGCCTCTATGTATAAAAGAAAAATAAAGTACCTGTATGCACTGTCTGTGTAATTATTATATTTGAAGATTAATTTATTGCAAAGTATAATAACAAACTTTTACTGCATACAATTTATGTATGTATGTGACCAAAGTTTTATCAGGTAACTTAAGTACAGAATTTCATATACCTGTAGTGTATAATTAATTTTACCTTCAAAATCTACTGTTTGTAAAAAGTAATTTGATATTGACTACTTTTGTTTTTGTGTAAGAAGCTTACTATTGACATGTCAACCATTTGTCAAGAAAATTTAAAACATATACATAAGGTTGTGGATTGATACAAATGCCTGGTCTCTAAACACATGGACATATTAATCCTGTGCACAAAGAATTATAGAAGAGTTTGACTAATTTGCTGTAAATAGATGTTATTGTTGTTCAACTGCATAGCAAGCATTTGCTGTGCAATCACAGTTTGTGAGGCCATTAAATATGGATCTTACTGTTATGTTTTAATATTCCTGATGTAACTTATGTTGGGCATGGGACAGAATTAGTTCATCTTATTTCATGTGTTGCAAAAGGTAACTTAAAGGGAATGTTCTTGGAAGCGACTTTATTAGAAGTAATAAAGGCAAGCTGTAGTATTTTGGTATCGAAGAATGCCCATATAACCACCAACTGAGAAGAAAGAATGTGTCGAAAAGCAGGCACTCCCTGGTCATTATCAGGTTGCTACCTTCAGTGTGCAATACTTTTCATAGATACAGTATGTAAGATTACAGTTACAGTATCTACAATGGACAAATAAACTTAAATAAGTCTCTTAGTTTTATATAAAACATAGACAAAATTGCAATCTCTAAATTTAAGGAGTGATTCAAAATGACGTATCTCACAACCATAAATGAGGCATGTGGTGGAAGAAGGGTGAATTAACCAATGATGCCAGTATGCTGCAGTACAGTATTGAGATCTGTTTCAACATGTTCCCAGGATTTTTTCTACTGGATGAGAATGCTATGAAATTGCTACTGTCGGAACAATCCATGATAACAGACAAAATTAAGGCTAGTGCTAAAGTTGCTACACCATTAACAGCCTGTACACTGTATTTCCATTGCAGTGGTGTTATAATAAGTATAAAATGCTTACTGAGTGTAAGGATTGAGGACCAGACCAAGCTTTTTGTGCACATTAACACCATGATATTTCAGGAAAAGGCTAAGAGTCTGTATGAAGATTTAGTGAAGGAATAAGGTGCTAGTTCTGACAAAAATTCCTTTAAGGCCAGCAAAAGGTGGTTTGAATGTTTTAAGAAATGCCTAAACCTACATAACATTAAGATGGTAGGTGAAACAGCCAGTGCTAATACTGAGGCTGCAAAGTGATACCCAGCAAAAATAAAGGCAATTACATATTTAAGTTGATGGATAAACACCAACAAGTGTAAACAAAATCGACCTGTTCTGGAAGGGCACGCCTGCAGGACATTTCAACAGAAGAAAAGACAATTCCAGGTTTCAAGGCTCCCAAGAATCATCTAATGCTTGCATTAAGAGGTAATGCTGCTGGATATTTAAAGTTAGAACCCAAATCTAGTTTATCAGTGATACAGCATTCTAATAAGAAAGCATGGATGACTGCCAGCCTCTTTCAAGGTTGGTTTACGAACTGTTTTTGTCTAGCAGTAGAAAGGTACAGTAACCAAAGAAATATTCCCAAAAAGGCCCTGCTACTGTTACATAATACTCCCAGCCACCCTATTAACCTTAATGAACTTTCTCGTAATATCAGAGTGGAATACCTGCCCAAGAACACAACTGCCTTGCTACAGCCTATGGATCAAGGTGTAATTGCCAGCTTTAAGGCGTACTTATGTAATAGGAGTCAATGGGAAAAATGGTTTCATGATGCAGAAAGATTTTCAGGAACAGAACCCTTCCGTAACCCAGGGTGTGTTGGCTTTGAAGAAGTGGAGAGTGACGATGTTGAGGACCTGCTCAAGTCCCATTTTAAAGACCTCTCTACAGCTGATCTACAACAACTTGTTGCTGCTGGGGAAATAGAAGCTGGCAAAGATGAAGAAGTCCGTGATGCAAAACCACGAGAGCTTTCCACTTCTCTTTTGTCTTCTATCCTGAGGGAAGTTGAGAAGCAGTTGCAGCTCTTGGAAGATAATGACTATAATGCAGAATGGAGCAGGATTGCAGTTCGTGGTGTAAGATCTTATTTGGCACCTTATGAACAGCTTCTTTATGAAAGAAGAAAGATGGCAACGCAGCAAACATTAGATGTCTTTTTTAAGGCAGCCCCCAAGAAACAGTCTGAAGACACTGAACCACAGCCACCCACGTCTGGAATTAAAAGATTTTTTGTCCAAACCCTGCAGCCACAACTGCACCTGATGATGATGATGACAACTCTCAGCCCATCTGCATGACTCATCAACCTCAAAATCATCCTTCTCCCCCATCAACTTATCTTCATATAGGTAAAGTGTTACATTTACTGTATTATTTCATTATTAGAAATGAATTTAACATTTATTTCGACTGTGCTACCTTTTGTGTTAGGCTAACTACTATATTTGTTTCAATTTCGAGTAATCTGCACCTAACCCTATTTTCTCCATAAGCCCTGTTATTTCTATAGCGAGAGGTTTCACAAGAACGCAACTATCGAGTTGTAACAAAAATGAGTGCATATATATATATATATATATATATATATATGCTAATAATATGCTGATTACAGAGTCTGCTCCCTAAGGCACCTACAGTGATTTACTTGCATATATATATATATATATATATATATATATATATATATATATATATATATATATATATCACACACACACACACACACACACACACACACACATACATACACACACATACATACATACATACATACATACATACATACATACATACATACATATATATATATATATATATATATATATATATATATATATATATATATATATATATATATATATATATATATATAATATATATATATAAAATTTTCTCACCACAGTGGAAAGTAGCGACACAACCTTGTGTTTAAATAACTTAATAACAATTTACGCATCACAGAGCAGTCCGTAACGACACAACCTTTCCTCACGGCGTCATTCATACAAGTGGTTCACTAGTGACATCAGTCACGTCACGTGACTGATGTCACGATTTCCCGATGCTGTTTACATCAAGGAATATCTAATAAGGAAGTTATACCCGACGCGTTCATCAGGGTGAAGTTGGCGACAGTTGGTATCTATTTTAGTTGGACTTAGTAATGGGATGGCGACTCTGTCGCCAGTGTCAAGTACAGTAGGTGTGTCGTCTGCACAATTTACTCTTTTGTATATTTCTGATAACGACATTAGAATACATAATGGTTCCACGTGGGTATGTCTTGTTTTGGTGATTTTGGGGGGATAGGGCTGCTGTCATGGCGGTGACGGTCACAAAGGAAACCCAACCCTTCGCCCCCTCCTCTGAGGCCGCTGACGACGACCCTGGGACAATCATATCGTCATTGGGTAAGCTGTGTTAAGCCACGGCAACTTTTTCTACTCTTATAACTCCTTTCCATCCACCCTTTACCTTTCCACTGGACCTTCTTCACCCGTCACTTGCCTTTTAGTTAGTTGTTTTGTGTCATTCTCTCTGATGAACGTACAACACCGAAACGTAAGAGATTAAAAAAAAATTGCTGCATTCTGCGTATCCTTACCACCACAATTCACTCATGTTATGAATCCAATCTGTTCTCTTTACGATCTTCGAGTAGTTCTGTATATTCACTCAGGAACAGGTGGCGCCGTAGTAAAATTTAGGGAACTATCTAAACATAAAGGGATTGTGTGTCAGTTGAGCTTCCTTATTAGATATTCCTTGAGAGAGAGAGAGAGAGGGAGAGAGAGACGGAAGCACCCCGACAAGAGATTGTCGAGTTTACTCAGTTTAGTCTCCCTAGAGGTGCTGCCCAGCGCCTAGCCTCCCCGCCATAACTGTTATGTCACGAAGGTTTCCACTTGAATTATACAATGGCAGTTTTTCACCTTTCACCACTGGTATCCGAGAGAGAGCCTCTGATCCCCTGGGCGTGAGGTCTTTTCTGCTCATGTTATTTACCACATAGTATTCCACCTGTCAGCGCCCAGCACCACCAACTCTTCTTCCTCAATACATGATTGACATGTTAACATGATTGACGTAATTGAGGTTTATTTGTTTTTCAAACAAATAAAACACAAAGGAACCCAGAAATTATATCATTAATGTGGTCTTGATGTTGTTGACCCGAGAGCATAAAATAAATAAAAATAACAAAACACATTGTACAATTATAGATTCGGATTTGATTTTAAGGTGTGTATTTTGCGTGTCGATTGGTGGAAATAAATGCACTAAGCAAAGTATCTTACCATTAACCTCTCTTATCTCAAGCCTTAGTCATCGTCATTTCAGTAGAACAAATACATGGTCCGAGTCCAGCAGGTGATGGACGTAAGAGAGGCCCCTTGGAGATAAATACTTCCCAGCTTAATTCATCTAACGATTAACCACTCTAACGCTAACTTAATCTAACTTCTAACTTAAACTAACTTAGCTGAACTTAACTCACCCTGACCTGACTTAATCCAACATACCCTGACCTAACTTGGGTGTTTAATCTTCAGGTGAACCACGTAAACTAAATACAGAGTGCATGATACAAAGAAAGTGAGACTCAAGCGATAACGATAAACTCTTCGTAAAGAAAGATAAGAGTCAAGGTGGATGAGAAATGCTTATAAAACCATTCTGAACACGAGTTGGTAATACGTAAAGTAGAAGTATACTCACAAAAGTTTGGAACAATAGATAGAAAAAAATAAGAGAGAGGGAGAGAGAGAGAGAGAGAATCGCCGATTAAGCCTTAAAATTTAACTGACCTTTTTTCCTGAATAGGGATAACTGTTTGTCTACATTAGTATAACTTGACGAAGCTTATTTCGTAATTGGTAAAATTTGCTCTGTTTTATCTCATCATGTGTGCTACTTGAGTGAAAGGACTGTCCGCGCGGATTTATCTTATGAGTCTATATTTTATGTATTTTTAAATATAAATTGCGTTAAAAATTACACGAGGTCGTGGCTACTTTTGGCATTACAGTGCTGGTTCCCGGGAACAGTTGACATTCATATATCTTTACACCTACAATCCTTATTTAATACACTGAGATATATGAAGGGCACGAACCTATCAACATGTCTAAGTCTATACAAATAATCCACAACAGACACTCACAACTTGTCCTTTAGTTAAACCCAATAAATACCGTGAGATTCTCTTGACCTTCACCTTCACGTATCTTAAAGGAAAAGGTGGAAGTAACAAGACGCGCGCTGGGGGTGACCTAACACAACACTCTGACTCACATAGTTCACAGGCTCAGTCCAGTATCGTGTCTCCTTCATCCCTCCAACTTTACTCGGATTT